TGTCCTGGTGGCCTTTGCCAGCCCCAGCCCAGCTTCATCTACCATTTATCTGACCCCCACATCCCCCCTCTATCCTGGTCCTTTCCTCTGGAGACATTTGTCCGTGTGCCAAAGCCTGACAGCACCTTTGCAATAGGAATAAACACCCTTGTGGGTGTTTAAAAATGCCCAATAAATAAATATACCGTTTACCACACCTGATGTGAACCAGCTTTGGCATGTGGAACAGCCACCCTGGCAAGCACCGGAGCTGGGCAGCCACAGCGTCCCCCAGGTGAGCTGGGCAGGGAGAGGGACAGGCACATCCCAGCACACTCACCTTCCACGGTGCAAACATCCACCTGGGACACGATGCCGGTGCCGTTCTCCTTGTCCGCGGGCCACCGGTAGGTGTAGAGGGACGTGTGTGTGGAGCCGGCGTCAAACACCAGCCCGTACTGGGGGCACAGAGAGGACACAGAGGTGTCAAGGGGTGCAGACCAGCATCACCATCAGCATCACCCGCTGAGAGAGAGTGAAGCTCCAGGAGAGCCAGCAGAGCTGCTGGTGAGCAGGGGGACCTCGAGTGGCCAAGCCAAGACTGTCACCAGGACAGAGAAATTCTGGTGATATTGCAGTCACCAGCCGTGTTGGGGACAAGGATCCACCCCAAGCCCTTGGAGCAGGCAGTGCTTTGTGATGAAAAGGCTTTATGTGCTGTAGGGCCACTCACAGTGATCAAACTCAGCCAGACCCTCCCAGCCTGTGTGGGGCTTTGCCCCACACCAGTGACAAACAGCACAGTCTGCCTGAAACCTGGTCAAAGTCTAATACCCAATGGGAGCCAGCACCCAAGGGAGAGTGGGTGGCTGGGCTCCTCCCAAGGACCCACCTTGGTGCTGGGGGGAAGAAACACATCCTTCACGTTCACAACGCTCAGAATGAGGGTGATGATGCTGCAGACACAAGTGGCTGCCAGGAGACCTGCAACAGCCTTGGCTTTGGTGTCCATTCCTCCTCCAACCTGCAAGGACAGCCCCAGCCCCCAGCTCACACCTCGGCATTTGCAAAAACAGTTTTGAAATGCAAATCCCATGGACGGATATGGGACCTGTCAAGATGGGCCTTTCCACTTCCCCAACAATGAAGCCATTCTGTGGTGCACAGCTGCTCTTATCATGGAATCATAAAATACATGTGTCAGAAGGAACCTTTAAAACCCATCTAGTCCAAACCCCCTGCCATGGGCAGGGACACCTTCCACTAGAACAGGTTGCTCCAAGCCCCGTCCAACCTGGCCTTGGACACTTCCAGGGATGGGGGAGCCACAGCTTCTCTGGGCAACCTGTGCCAGGGCCTCCCCACCCTTATTGCAAATAAATCTTTTAGATTAAAACCATCACCCCTTGTCCTATCACTAGAGGCTTCTCTAAAAGGTTTATCCCTGTCTTTCTTATAAATACCCTTTAAGCACTGAAAAGCCACAATAAGCTCTCCCTGGAGCCTTCTCTTCTCCAGGCTGAACACCCCCAGCTCTCTCAGCCTGTCTCCACAGCAGAGGTGCTCCAGCCCTCAGAGCATCTCCGTGGTCTCCTCTGGACTTGCTCCAACAGGGCTCTTGGCAGTCTCAGGGCTGAAACTCTCTGTGCTTCTGAGCACTCCTTCCTCAGAGGATTTTCAGCACGTTTTTTTCAGCCCTTCCTTCTCACTTGTAGCCCCTCAGATCCCTCTGTGCCTGGACCCCAGCCCTCTGTCCTGCTCAAACTGCCAGCTGAGTGGCAGGTCAGCATCTTCCTTCCCAGCAGGAGCACTGTGGGAAGCATGGCTGTGTCTGGCTGGAGTCCCAGTCTGGAAGGAGAACCATGCCCTGCCAGGTTCCCAGTGTGGTCAGAGCTGCACATCTCCAACACCCACACACTTGGGCCATCAGGTCACATCCACTGTCCAACAGGCCCAGCCTGTCCCTGAGAGGGTCCTCTCTGCTCTAGGCAGGGGAACAGTATCTCCAGCCACGTCTCCTGTCTGGTCCAGCTTTTCTCCACTCCTGCTGATGCTACAGCAGTAAGACACACAGGGACAGCGCTGTGGTGATCCCCAAGCCTCTGCTGGGGAAGCCCCAAGGGCAGGCATGAGGGCAGAGGCAGGCAGCTCCTGCCAATGTGGGCACACGGCCCCGCAGCCAGGCTGGCACGGCCACAGCAATGGCCCCTGGGGACAGGAGCAGGGCCTGCACCTCCCACTGGTCTGGCCAGAGCTCAGTTCCAGCAGAACCAGCCCCAAGACACCCATAAGAAGTTGCAGCAGAGAAGCAAAGCCAAAGTGGTTCTCCGTGACAGGCTCAGCACAGGGACAGTGACACGTCCACATGCTCAGCACCTCACAGCTGGTCCGGATGGGCTTTTCTAAATGCACAGCTCTCCTTCCTGCCCTGCCCTGCCCCATGCCATGAGCTGCACAGGCAGAATGCCTGCAGGGAGCCAGGCTTTCCTCTCTTCACACTCTGGATGAACAGTGGATGTCCTGAGAGCCCTGGGCACAATCACACCAGTGCTTTGGGTGGAACCTGGAGCTGTCAGTTGGCTACACAATTCTCCTGTGAGCGTATAAAACCTCTGATAAATATCCCTGTCTTTTTCTCAGGTCAGCAGAAAGGTAAGCTCAAAGGAGATGCTGATTCCTGTTTTGGAGTCAGTATCTCCAGTGATGAACAAGAGTGACCAATCTCCTGTGTGGCACGAGATGTACAACGATGAACAGCAGCCTCATGGGACATGGGACTACTGAAATCCCTTTTTGGACCTTATCCTACAGCCAGGAGCCCCTCCCTCTACAATAGCAATGGCCAGAAGAGATTATATGGAAGCAGTTGATGAACCCCTATCATAGAAACAGGGAAACATTAAGGTTGGAAAAGAACTCTTTGAGTCATCGAAGTTGTTATTGATTCGAAGTCATAGAGTCCAATCATTAACTCAGCCCCACCATGATCACCACTAAACCATCTGTCACATCTCCAGTCCTATCAGCCCTGCTAGAGTGTGCCCAGATATAACTGTGCTGTTGGGATGTGATTCATCTGCTCCAGGTAACAAACAAAGCAATGGCAAAAGTCCCCAGCCCAGCCCATATCCTGGAAAATTCTGTCCCAGGCACTGTGCGATGGAATTGGTGATAAACTGCATCCTCTTGCACATGGGAGTGGTGGCAAGCGGACTCCCCCTGCTCTGCTAGGGACTAATTCCCATTTTGACTGGGCAGCAGGCAACATCCAAAAGCAGCACAGAGCCAGCTCTCCCAGGGATGAGAGCAGGGCATGGAGAGGGAGCCCAGCGAGAGGCGTATGAGAAGCTGATTGATCTGCCCAGCCTTTCTGTGGCACCCTGGGGCTGGCCAGCTCTGACACCTGCTCCCACCCCTTCGGGCTCAGTGAGCAGCAGGGATGGGAAGGTGGTGGCGACGCCTCCAGAGCTGCAGACGAGGCACGATGCTGTGCAGTGCCTGTCTACTTCCACGTGGGGAAAGCTCCCAGCTGTGCCCAGCACCTGGGCCAGGGCTGCACTTGTTTATGTACGACAGAGGGCTTGACAAACACCCGTGGGACATCCCTCGTCTGCAGCGCCCCTCGTGCACAGGGAACAGGGCCTCAGCATTTGGGACGGAAGGCTCAGAGACGCTGCTGGATCTAAACCTCCCGTTGCTCATGAAAACGAGGAGCTGACTTCTCCACCGGGCACGTTTCAGATTTGAAAGGCAAGAGGGCTCTGAAGGTTCTAAGAGGGTGGATGTGGATGCCGGGAGCATCTTTGCCAGGCAGAGCGGTCCCCTGCCTCCCGCCTCCCACCAGCGCTGGGGCTCGGCAGTGCCCTCCGTGCCCTGCCCGTGTCCTCTCCGTGCCCCTCTGCCCCCCGCACCTGGGCACCACGAGTGGCCTCCCCAGCCCTCTCCTCCTGTCCCTCCAGCCCACGGAGCATGTTTCCCCTCGTACCGGCCCCGCTGCTGCCCAGGGCCCGCTCCCAGCCCAGCTCCATCGCGGGGCACCAGCCCTCGGTCCCCGCTCCCCCCGGCGCCTGCCCCCGCTCACCCCTCCGGCTCCGGCCGCCGCTCCGGCCCCGCCGCGCTCGTCCCGGAGTCCGCGCGCACCTGGAGCCGGGAGCCCGCTCCTGGGACAAAGGCTGCCCCGCCGGCGTGGCCCTCCCCTTGGCCTCGGACCAGCAACCTGCCCAGGAGAGCGCTTGTCCGGGAGGCAGCGGGGCTGGGGCTGGAGAGCCGGGGTGGAAATCGCATCCGGGGTTAACCACTTCGCTGCCGGAGGAACGGGACAGCCCGGAGCGCTCAGCCCGGGCGGGGCTGTGCTGCCCGAGGGGGATCAGATCCCCAGGGAGCCCCTGGCCCCGGAGAGTCTGTCCCCTGGCCCCATGACGGGGCAGAGTCTGAGCTCCGGGAGCCCCAGAGACATCCCTGCCCAGCCCTGCTGCACACACTGCGAGGGGCAGAGCCTGTCCTGTCACCCTGCTGTCACCTGGCTCTGCTGGACTTCCACTGCCCCGCTGCAGGCAGAGCCAGGCTGACAGCGGAGCCCGGGACAAAAATAGTAGGGACCTGTCAAGTGAAGAGCTGTCCCCAGAGCCATCCACGTGGCATCCATCCCCACAGGCAGGGGCCAAACCGTCCCCACGGCCAGGAGGCCACCCCCATGGCCAGGGTCCTGTCTGTCCCCATGGCTTTGGTGCAGTGCAGGCAGAGGGCAGGCAGGGTACAGGCAGAGGTCCAGGCAGAGGTACAGGAGCATGGTGTAAGCACAGAGCAGGCAAGGAACAGGAAGAGGTCCAGGCAGGGTGCATGCAGAGGTACAGGCAGGGTCTAGGCAGAAGTCTAGGCAGGGTGCAGGCAGAGATCCAGGCAGGGTGCAGGTAGAGATCCAGGCAGGGTGCAGGCAGAGATCCAGGCAGGGTGCAGGCAGAGATCCAGGCAGGGTGCAGGCAGAGATCCAGGCAGGGTGCAGGCAGAGGTCCAGGCAGGGTGCAGGCAGAAGTGCAGGCAGGGTGCAGGCAGGCCGGGTGCCCGGTGCAGGCAGAAGTACAGGCAGGGTGCAGGCAGGCCGGGTGCCCGGTTCAGGCAGCCGCAGCCCCGAACTCGCTGCTCTCTCCGCCCGCGGCAGCGCCCAGAGCCCGCCCCAGCCGGGGCCGGACCCGGACATCCGAGAGCGGCTCAGCTCCACTTTCGCTTCCCCGCAGGGCCCGGGAGCCGGCGGGCAACGGGCTGTGACCCCATCGCCCCCCACGCCCGCGGACCGAGGGGGCTCCCGGAACAGGTACAGGGGCGGCCGAGACCACGGCAGGAGGGAACTTTGCCCCTGCCCCTGCCCGGCGGGTCGGGGCCAGACGAGTTCACGGTCTCCCCACCCGTCCGCCTCGTGTCCCAGGGGGTCACTCAGGTCACTCGGGGTGGGGGATCCCGAGCTGCTGGCAGAACGGGACCCCAGGAAGGGCTCGAGGTTCGGGGCAGGGGCAAGCGGGTTTGGACTGCCCTGGCAAAGTCCCTCCCTCTCCGCACACCCTCCCAAAGACCATCCCTCCCGCAGACTCTCCCAAAGACCAAAGACCATAGACCATCCATTCCCACAGACCCTTCCAAAGATCCTCCCTCCCGCAGACCCTCCCAGAGACGATCCCGGCCCACAGACCCTCCTCCCAAAGACCATTCCACCCTGCAAACCCTCCGCCTAAAGACCCTCCCTCCCCGCAGACCCTCCCAAAGACCATCCCTCCCCACAGACCCTACTCCTAAAGACCCTCCCTCCCCGCAGACCCTCCTCCCAAAGCCATCCCTGCCTACAGTCCCTCCCTGTAGACCCTCCTCCTAAAGACTCCGCCTCCTCGCAAACCGTCCCCCCAAAGGCCATCCCCCCAAATGATCCCTCCTAGATCCAGCTCTCCCCAACGACCCCCCGAAATCCATCGCTTCCCACAGACCCTCCCAAAGACCATCCCTCCCCAATGAGCCTCCTAAAGATCATCCTTCCCCAGAGACCCTCCCAAAGGCCGTCCCTCCCCCCAGATCCTCCCGAAGACCCTCCCAAAGACCCTCCTTCCCCACAGACCATCGATGCCGACGCGCCTGCTCAGGGCGGTGGGCTGGAGCTCGGCGGCCCTGCTGGGAGTGCTGGGGGTGGCCGTCTTCCTCCTGGTCCTGACCCCGGCAAAGGATGCTGCCCTTCCTATGAGGAACAAAGTAGGTGCCCAATGGGACCTGGGGGAGGCTGGGAGTGACTACCAGCCCCTTTCCACCTCTCATTCTTCCATCAGCTCTGCCTTCCTCTCCACTTGCAAGTGTAACTAGCTGTAACTAGCCCAGCTTTTCAGGACTTAACCTCATCAAGGTGGGCACTGGGCTGATCAATCACCCCCGAACTGTGGTGCTGGCTCCTTGCTAAGGATGGGAAAGAGAAGCACAGCCCTCTCCCCGTGACTGCACTCTTTTCCCTGCTTTCAGACGTTCAGTTCACCTGTTGGGTTTACACCTCTCTCCCCTGCTACTTTCTGCTGCCAGCTTGCTAAAAAATGTCAGTTTTTGTGAGATTTCCCAAAGGCCTGGGAGCAGCCTGAGCCCTTTGGGACATGCCCGGATGCCTCCCTGCCCTGCGAATCCCCCAGCTGACCTGCGTGTCCTTCCTTCCTGAGCCGTAACTCGCTGGAATGGCGAAACCGGGGCTGTTAGAGGTGGAGCAGGGCTGCTGTAGGGAGGTTGGACGTGCAAACCTCCACTGCTCACATTCAGCTCTCAGAAACCCCCATGACACTTGGTGCAGCCCCGGCAGAGATGTGACCCCATGTCCCCTCTGTGCCCCCAGTACGGGCTGGTGTTTGACGCCGGCTCCACACACACGTCCCTCTACACCTACCGGTGGCCCGCGGACAAGGAGAACGGCACCGGCATCGTGTCCCAGGTGGATGTTTGCACCGTGGAAGGTGAGTGTGCTGGGATGTGCCTGTCCCTCTCCCTGCCCAGCTCACCTGGGGGACGCTGTGGCTGCCCAGCTCCGGTGCTTGCCAGGGTGGCTGTTCCACATGCCAAAGCTGGTTCACATCAGGTGTGGTAAACGGTATATTTATTTATTGGGCATTTTTAAACACCCACAAGGGTGTTTATTCCTATTGCAAAGGTGCTGTCAGGCTTTGGCACACGGACAAATGTCTCCAGAGGAAAGGACCAGGATAGAGGGGGGATGTGGGGGTCAGATAAATGGTAGATGAAGCTGGGCTGGGGCTGGCAAAGGCCACCAGGACAGGGCAGAGGTGTCTGGGCTGGGGATGAGAGGGTTCAGGGCTCACCCCAACCTCCTGTCCCTCTCAGTGGTGGTGGCAGTTACTGGTTAACTGCAAAGGTCTGGCCGAGGGCAAAGTGTAACAGAGGGGTGCATGGGCTAACGGCAATAGTTGTGTGCAAAGCTCCCGGGAAGGTAAATAGTGATATTTGCGCCCCGGAGCCTGTCATTGCCCACGGCAGGACCATGGCGAGTGCTCAGATCCAGTGCCAGCCTCTGAAAATAGGAATTCAGGCACACAGAGGGCATCTCTGTGTTCGTGTCAGTCCAGCATGCCATTGCAGCAGGAGGCAGGAGAGCCTGCCCCTTCCTCAGGGACATGGGGAACGGCTCTGTTTGTCGCAGGACTGGCTGGCCATGTCCGAGCAGTTCAGCCTACCCGGGGTTAAGCGTGTGCTCAGCATCCAGAGCTGGAGCTCGCTCGCAGTGGCTCCCGTGGGATGTGGGGCTGTAACACAGGTCCTGCCTCCTGGCGGGCCAGCTCGGAGCACCCACTTCAGGGACTCCCCTGGCAAGGGTGGGACTAGCCCGGCTATGCAGCCAAAAACCCCTGGGAGCTTTCTGGGTGGACATATCCCCTGCTGTGCTGTCCCTCGGGGTGCGCTGGGCTCTCTCCATCACTGGTGCCCTCTGGCAGGACCCGGCATCTCCAGCTACGCAGACGACCCCGCGGGGGCTGGTGCCAGCCTGAGGCCCTGCCTGGACCAGGCCTTGAAGATCGTGCCGGCGGAGCAGCAGCGGGAGACCCCCACCTACCTGGGGGCCACGGCCGGCATGCGGCTGCTGAGGTACCGCCGGGCCGGGGCCGCCCCCGCCCCTTCCCCCGCGCTCCTGCATCTGCATCGCAGCCGGGGCAGGGCCGGGCTGGGGGCAGGGGGTGCAGCCCGGGCAGGCCATGCGGGTGGGCAGAGCATCCCTGTCTGCGGTGCCACGGGGTGTCCAGGACAGCCGCTGGCAGTGCCCAGGGGATACCCCCGGCCCACTGCAGCCCCAGAGGGGGATGAAGCCCCTCTGCCAGACGGGCACTGGCCTTCCCAGTGCTGCGGCAGAGCCCGCAGGCAGCGTTGGTAGGGAGATTCCCGATGGCCCGGGTGAGGGATTTGGGGCTCACAGGAGCCAGCACAGACAGGGCAGTGCTGGGGGATGTGCCTGCCTCTGGGCGGCCCCGCTCCCTGGCAGGGCACGGCAGCCTCTCGCTGCTAGCCCAGCTCCCACAGCTCCCAGCTGAGGCCTCCTGCCGCAGCCGTGTTCATCCCTTCCCTGTCAGGGAGCAGAACGGCACCAAGGCCGAGCAGGTCTTTGCCGAGGTGGCCAAGGTGATTGGGGAGTACCCTGTGGACTTCCGTGGAGCTCGGATCCTGACGGGCACAGAGGAGGGCTCCTTCGGCTGGATCACCGTCAACTACCTGCTGGAGACACTCGTCAAGGTGTGAGCTGGGGGAGAGGGAGGGGAGGGCTGAGCGCTGAAAATATCCCTGTCCCAGTGACAGCCAGGGTTCTTTGTTCCAGAGGAGAGAAGGATGTAGTTTTAGGGCACTGGTCCCCCCATAAATCTCACCTGTGGTCGTGGGCTGCAGATCCAAGCCCAGTGACGTGATGAACAGAATCTTTGTGTCCAGCTCAGCCCAGCCCTGTGCTCTCCGCTGACACAGGGGTGGATTTTGGTACCACAGGGTGCAGCGGTACCAGGTTCCAGATGAAAGTGTTCCTTTTTCCCTCCTCGAAGTCTCTGGTTCTCAGAAACAAGGGGCCAGACCTCAGAGCTCCCTGGAAGTTTCTGTGGGTTGAGGAGGATGTGGGCAGGAGGGGTAAAACAGGGAGACAGGACATGGAAGGTCCCTCTGGGGCTTCTGAGCCCAAAAGCCATGAGGGTTTTCCCAGGGACTGGGAGTCCCTCCCATTCAGACTAACACGTGCTGTCTCGTGGGCCAGTTTTCCTTTGCAGAGAAATGGGAACATCCAGAGGACACCGAGGTTCTGGGAGCTCTGGACCTTGGAGGTGCCTCGACACAAATAACCTTCCAGCCCGGAGTGCCCGTGGAGGACAGGAACACCTCGGTCTTCTTCCGCCTGTATGGCACCAACTACTCTCTCTACAGCCACAGCTACCTGTGCTACGGGAAGACACAGGCCCTGAAGATGCTGCTGGCAGCTCTGCACCAGGTACCACAGCCTGGGGCCTCAGGATGTGCTCAGCCATCCCCCACTGCCACGAAAGGTGTCTCCCAGGAACGTTGGGCATGCCTGTGGATAAAGTGTTAGGGAACTGGGAGAGCTTGAGATTTTATCTATGGAACCAAAGAATTCCTTCCTTTGGGTGGAAGATGGGGTGGTTCCCTGCCAGGGCTCCCTTCTCCCCAGATCTTGATGTGTAATAGCATTTTTTGTCATTTCCCAAGCCCAGCTGTATCTGTAGGTTTTCCCTGTCCATATTCTCTCCCCCTTGCTCAATTTGTGCCCGAGAGAGGATTCCCAACACAGTCCCCACGCTGCTCCAGCACTGTGCAGTGTCCTCCTGCCTGCCCTGGGCCTGAGCGCTCAGTGCCCTGGGAGGCAGGGATGCTCGGGAAGCACAGAGTCGAGATCCATCCTTGGTCCTCCCTGGGCCAGGGCCTGCAGGGTGCAGTGGGGACGGAGCGAGTGCCCAGAGCACCAAGCTCTCCGTGCGGGCAGAGCACCAGCACTGCCCTGGGGAGCAGGTGCCACTGCTGGGGGTGGCAGTGCCATCGTCCCCCCGGCACGGCTCAGTGGTGGGGGGACAGGGAGAGCCGTGGGCAGGTTAGTCGTGCACAGGAGGGATCCTGCTTATGCTCAGATCCTCCTGGGGTCTAGGTGCTGCTTTTTGGGCTGGGCTGCAGGTGGGGTCTCCCTGGCATCCCACGCTAAGCCCCACTGATGGCTCCCTCTCTCTTCAGGACAGCGTGACTGCCCAGATCTCACACCCCTGCTACCCCATGGGGTACCAGGAGAATGTCACCGTGGCAGAGCTCTACGACAGTCCGTGTGTGCGTGCCCCCAGCACAGCCAGCCCTGCCCAGGTGCTGACGGTGACGGGCACAGGGGACCCAGCCAGGTGCAGCACGGCCGTGCAGAAACTCTTCAACTTCAGCTGCGGGGCCCAGAGGCCGTGCGGGTTCAACGGGGTGTACCAGCCCCCCGTGCGGGGACAGTTCTTTGTAAGGAGCCTCCGTCCCTGTGTTTGGAGGGGGAGTTGGGTTTTGGGCCACAACCCCAGGATAACCTCTGTAGGAAAGTCTGGATAGTGCCAGTCCTGGGAGCTGGGATGTCCCTGACACATGGAGACACGCAGGGTGCTCACCCATGTGCCAGGGAGCTCCAAAGCTCTGTGGTCCCAGCTGTAATCCCTGTTGTTGTGGGGAACATTCCCAGCTCCCTCCGAGCCACTCAGCTGCCTTATAGGGACCCCTCTGGAGGGGGCCGAGGAGTGTCAGTGGCTCAGGTGCTTCACCAGCCTGTCACCTTTGGTCTCAAACACCTACAGGCCTTTTCCGGGTTTTATCGCGCCTTTCTCTTGCTGAACCTGACAGGAGGGCAGTCCCTGGCCTCGGTCAATGCCACCATCAGGCAGTTCTGCGCCAGGACCTGGGGCAAGGTGAGATCATGCCCAGGAAGTGCCACCCCCTGCCCACATTTCTTCTGGGTGCTGGGCAGCCTGAAAGCTCATCCACAGTCCATCCTCTGCTGGGGACAGCTGGGAGGAGCACAAAGGTCTCTGAACCTGGAGAGAGATGGGAGAGCAGCCTGTAGCCTCCCAGGTCCTCCTTGCTCTCCCAGTCTTTGCTCCCAGCTGCACTGAGGGGCTGTTCCCCAGCGTGGGCACACCGAGCACTGCTCCCTGCTGGCAGCCCACCCCTGTTCTCCCACCTCTGCAGGTGCAGAAGTTGTTCCCCACAACAAGCAGGACCCACCTTCGTGACGCCTGCGCAGTCAACTCCTACATCCTCACCCTTCTCCTGCAAGGCTACAAATTCAACCAGAAAACATGGCTTAACATCCACTTCATCCGACAGGTAGGAGAGTGCCTGGCAGCCCCCAGCTTCCACACTTTGGGCCATGAAATGGCTCATGCCTACCTGCTGCTGCCCCTGCCCTGACTGGGGACAAGGGATGCCAGGTCAGCACAGCCCCACTGCCCATACCCAGAGCTACATCAGGCACCTGCTGGTACATCTGGCCTGGCCCCTTATGCTCTCCCCAAGTTTATCTCACTAATGGGGCCTCTGCAGCCCAAAGGTGGGCACAGATACGGTGGCTGTGGAGCAGGACCTGGGGGTACAGCAGCAGAGGTCT